GTAAGTAGGGCATGAACACATGATCCGCACTTAAGTTGCATGGAACATTTGTATGTATAAGAAATTGCTTGGTGGTCTTAGTCTCACTGACCCCAGATGATATCACACAAGACCTTCTCAGCAAATAGATAATACAAGCTTGCAAACCAGGCCGGTCAAATCTACAATTATTCCTCAAATATAGACTAGATTGCTTCTAGCCCAGAAAAGGCAATCAATGGCCATCAAGCCCCTCCTGGTACATGGTTAAATCCCACAAGAGTGCACCTGGCTCAAAGATATGGAACATGGTAGGTTGGACTTGGAAATGAAACACCCATTACATACAATGGTGCTGAGCCACCTCATATGCCTTGAACATGGAGTTAAGGCATAGCCCAAAATTTACTTCAAGTATTCAACTGGCATTTTCTAGGCAAAGAGTTGCAACACTCTCAAATAGAGGACTAAACATGATTAGCTCCTGTTGGTCCCTGTCAGTGTAAGTCTTCCAACAGTGGAACACTGCCCAAACCAAATATCAGATGTTAGCAAAGGAGGAGCATGGATGGGCAACCATGTGCTGCCATCCAGCAATCACATGGCGAGCTGCTCATTGCCTGAGTTGCCCCTCCAGGGAGGCACAACTGGCTAGGCCTCTTCTTGAACGACTAGTTCCTAACCCCCCCATCTTATTCAAAGCAACAGACGGTTTTCAGCACTAGTGTGATCAGCTGACTCACATCTCAGTCACAGACCTCCAGAAGGACCTGTTTTTGGTGATAGAAAGCACCCAAACTTTACACCCAATCTCAGACTTGTCACTATGGCTTAGTAAAGCATTGGCCTGCAACTAGGAAGCACCCTCACCAACCAGAATTCCACCACCCTCACATGCATCTCTAGCAAAATCAGGGTACTCGCACAATTTTAAAAAGGGATGCGTAAGAAAGTCCCAAGGCATTTCTTCGTTGGACCCATTATAGGCCTGAGATTTGACCTGGAAATATTTTGTTAGCCAAAAACTGTACCCTTCCTGGAATTCACCTCCAAGTCAATCCGGACCCACCTGCGTGATTCAGAACTCGAGGTGGACCTGCTTAATACCAAATGTAGTGGACAACTCCCTTTGAAAACCCGCTTTGACTAGAAAAACACTTGGCATAAGCACCGTGCACAGAAAGAAGGAGCATTTATATAGAGTGTGTATCACAAGGCCACAGCCGTTAACAAATGGCAAAGTAAAATCAACTCCTATATCGACACTTCATGTTCATTCTGCCCAGGTGCTTCAAAGGCTATTCTCCACATGTTCTGGTATGCCCCAAGGTCAGACTTACATGGCACTAGTGTTCACTTGTCCTTCAAGTCATACAACGGAAACAAACCGAACCTCTGGCCAGCCTCACACTTAGCTGGCAACAATGCTTATTTTCCAAAAATCTTCTCAAGCGATTTAGTAAAATCAAATTAATCTGGACACTCCTCAGGAATACTACACTGTGGGAACTTCGGCTGGAGCGCAATGATATGGCGTCCAACAAGGAGGGTGGTCGCTCGAACGAGTCACAACCCGTATCTGGCATGCGATTAAGGATTATGGTCGCATCTAATGGACTAACCTCACCAATGCGTTGCCGTGTGAGGATGACATTACAGACTTCTGGTTCTCGAATTTCAACTCCACATGGGGACACAATAGCATCCTATGCTCTAGAGTGGGGACTGTAGTACGCTGGCTGCATAACAGACTTAGCAATGGAGGAAATGAGCTCAAGAGCTTCACTTGCAGGAGATCGGAAGCGCATCGTTTCCCACGTCAGAATATGGGAGCATCCATGCTGCAGCTGCCATTAATTGCACCCGGTAGAGATTGATCTCAGGCTGCTGCCAACCTTGGCTCTCACTTACCACCCTCTTGTCCGTCGTCGCCAAGTCTCGAAGCAAGACTCCAAGCAACAGCCCATTTTTCTTGAGCCTGCGACGGGAAGAGTAATGCTGAATAGAGATCTACTTGCGGGACTTAAGTGAATCGGCCGGAGACTTCTCGTTAAGTCCTACTACCAGCTTCACTGTCCTCTCAATTTGAATCCGTCGTTTTTGGGGAAGACTGCTGGCTTGGTTGTTGCTAGGTCGAAAATTTGGACTTAATGTTGAGGGAGCGGCTGCTTGCGGTTGGTGATGGTGTTTCGAGAGTTGAGGTACATGTTTCCCGCAGTGGGTTGAAGCTGTTGCTTTTTTGGAATTCTTTTCGTTTCCTGTGTTGTTACTTTGCAGTAGTTTTACAATTTGTCTGAAGGAGTCGATAGTCGTGAGATACTTTGTTTTGTTTGCGGCATAGATGGAGCCCGCGCAAGCAATATTTGTCTTCTCCTGTGTTTTCTAGTTTGTCGATGGTTGTGCTTCGTGTGATTGAATGCTGAAGTTTTGCCCAGTTTGCGCGAGTGACCGATGCCGGAACCTGCTAACATTGTTGACGGCACTGTAAGACGACTCAGATTGAGAAAAGGGATAGGAGGTCTCTTTGATAGTTACGTTCAACGCATGTCATTGTTTCGCTGCTTAAGATGGTAATAGGATAAGCATGCTGTGCAAGAGATTAGCATCATATCAAAATTCGCCCTCGTACGCAGTTTGCCCAAGTTTGGAAGACACAAGAAAGGGCCAGAATTTTGCCACGAGTTACTCTCAAAGTCGAAATTTTACGAAGAGAATTAGCAAGAAATTTGCCACTATACCTCGTGGATGTGAAAAAGTCACAGAACAGGTCTCCTGGTCGCATAAGCTAATTGTCGGCTGTCTTAACATGTCTGCAGAGGCGACCCGACGCAAGAGCAATGCAGCAAGGTCCTGCAAAAAGCTGCAGAGCTTCGTTCGTGCTGCAAATCCATTCACAGAGGTTTTCAGTGAGCAGTTCATGATCGTATATCAGCGTCACTTACAAGTGCAGGATAAAGAGATCATGCAAAAGCCGTAATGTAGGAAATACGAGCCAACCGTAGCGCAAGCAGCAATTATTGCAGATACTTCCAAAGGCACTATCGTGGCCATTCTAGACTTGAACACCATCAAAGCCTCAGTCGAGCGACGAAAAGTCAAAGACCTCGTTCAAACCGCGGCATGATCGTGCTTTGCATAAAACTCAACCATTCTGAACCCCAGTAAGTGAGGCATCCAAAAGCAAAAATTCCAATTACTCACAATTAGGTCTGTGTCACTGACTGATCGCTCCTTTTCCCTGGATTTCACAACGAAACGACAGCAATAACACGCAACATTCGATTCGGAGAAGATCGAAGGCTTAAACCTCCACTCGCTGCAAGTGATGGTGGAGGTGATAGCACATACACTAGAAAACCGCGACACTCCTTCCAAGCAAAGAAACTCATGTTCCTCGGCAACAACGACTCTGATTGTGCATCGATCAGTGGGGGGGCGTTTCGACGGTTGCTCATCTGGAGCACTCAGGATTGGAGACTGTCGATGAGCTCCCCCTGATTAGTTCCGTTTTGTAAGATACATGGGGCGATGAATGCATTGCTATTTTCTGTGGTTCAGTCGCTTCTTCACGCCCTTTTAAATCTGAACTTTTTATTTTATTTTATATTATTAGTAACAAAAAAAATTATAATATACAAAGTAGAAAGTAATGAAGTCTTTCAAGTAGAAAGTATGTATTGCCATTGAAGAAAATCTTTTTTACATCTATTAATACAATGTGTCAACAACTCTTCAATCTATTGCTTAACAATTAGTCAACATGAGTTATTTGTAAAACCTTTTCTCTATACCATTCTCCTCTTCCAACTACTGTAAATCTCTAACAATTTAGTAGATTCTAATCCAATCTATTTCTTATCAATAAATGTTTTTGTCTAACTTGATCCATCTTCTTCTTCACTCAATACCACATTACTTCTATGAGGTCCATGTGTGGTCAATCATTAATTACATGAAAATTTTACATGTTTCATTTTTTTTTTTTTTTTTTTTTTTTTCTTCATAAATCTTTCCCATTATATGTCCTCACTCTTTAATAACCCTTTAATAATAGGTGGTAAGAAAACTAAATCTTGAAAGGTTAAAGGAATGGAAAGAAAAGGACAAAAGCAAATAAAAACTAACAAATTCACACATGCAATCTTATCCAACTACAACTAATTTGACAAAAGTTCACATTATTTTACAAAGACACATGATTAATGTAACTCATATATGTCACATTGAAGACTAGTAACTGTAACTACAAAAATTAAGAACTACTCACAATCCTTTTACTTCTGTACAACATTGCAACTCTCACTAAAATCCACACTAGCCACTTACACCTCAAAGGATACATTTCCTACAAAAAAAAGGTCCATCAATCATAATTTCACTTTCTCACCTTCTAATGCAAAAAATAAATGGGAATATTAAATAGATCCAATTTTTTACAAAATCAATCCACCCATTTTAACCATCATGAAAAGAAGAAGAAAAAAGAAGACCTCTAGATTCTTTTCTCCATTATTGGATTCGCAACCAATGAAAATCAATCACATTCATCATGATTACCATATTTTTCATGTTAAATAGACCTATGCTTTTACTAAATGTGGACCGATTTAGTAAAAGCATAGGTCTATTTAACATTTTCCGAAATAAAATAAAATAAAATAAATCCCCACTGTAGAAAAAAAATCACAGGAGAGAAAATTACCAAAAAACTCAAAAAAATAATAATAAATGGAAATAAATAGAAAAAAAGAACTACGAAAGATGATAGATAATGTGCAACAATGTAGTGAAGAGGCAAAGAGGAGGAGCAGAAGGGCAGCGGCGAGCGTGGCGAGGGACGCGCCGCGCGTGAAGGGGGAACTGCGTCGCTGCGAGGCCGTCGCGACCGCGGTGCCGCGTCGGACCCACCTGGTGGTGGTGGTGGAGCTGGTGAGCGAAGCGAAGGGAGAAGCTGAGGCTGCGGGTGAATACGTGAATGAGAGCGCCTTTGGCGCTTCCTATACTTCTCGTTACAGCGAGCACCGCACCAATATCCATCGGCATCCCCAAGCGATGCTATAGTAACCCCACGCTTTCCTTCGTCGACGTTCATCCACAGACCTGTCTGTGGCTGCGGCAGAAGACGCTGGGCTCGTGGTTCTCGCTATCCGAGGCACAAGGACCAGCCGCTTGTTCAAAACTTCTCCCCCTGGCACCACTCTGCCATCAATCCGTAAACCCTAAAGGAGTCCGGTCGGTCCACGCATGGCTTCTGAGACGTGAGCGTAATCCATGTCGTCTTCCTGCGCCCGTGGGCGTGTAGTTTGTTGAGGTGTTTGTTACCACAGCTTTCTCGGCGTTCCTTTTTGTTTTTCTTATAGTTTTTAATAGCCTTTCCTGGATTGCAGGGAGGGTTTCTTGGAGTATTCTTGTAGGTCTGGACGTTTGCTTGGGTTGGACCGGTGTTGAGATCGTTTGACAATTTACGGCCTTTTGAAGGGTCCTCTGCGGGAGATTGTAGTTTGCAGCGCAGTTCAAGGTATGTGAGTTCCTGGGTGTTTTTTTAATTTTTCCTATTCATGAGTTACGTTTGGACGACACGGGGTGGCTCAAATCATTCATGTAGATTGTTGGGATTTTTCATGAACATCTGGATCTGATTTTGGGATAAATTTCGTTTTTCTTTTTCTGTTTCGGTTGTATCGCATGTTCTCTGGGAGTCCCGCTTGCTCGCTCTGTGTGCAATCATTTGGGCGTTAAATGAGGGGAGATTTTCTATCGGGGATGTTGATCTTCGATTTTTATTTTCTTAGAAATGATGCCTTGGTTTTTTGTATGCTTCACACCGTTTTGTTACTCTCATCTTGATCTTGCATTTGATGGATAGTGAAGGTAATGGAGGCTACGCTATTTGGTGGTGGATGACAAAGTCAGTTCCCCTGACTTCATTAATCCATGGTTATGCGATTCTCAGGACTGATCTCGATACCTTGGAGCCGTTGCAAGGGATACATTGGAAATCAAGTCGATTGCATCTTGGTGGTAGGGTGTTTTCACTGAGAGTTTGCAGTGGGTGCTATAGCCCGATGCCGTTTGAGGAAAGAGACAGTATCTCCACAATAACGAAGACTTTCTCTCTGGGATTTTCCAGCTTTGTAGAACTGCAGGGCTAAATTTGCGCAGTCATTTCACCGTTAGCTGAAGGGCGGTGTGTTGTTCAAAGCTCTCTTCTTAGTTTTGATATCTGACGGTATGTGAAAGTTCACAGGATCGAAAACAGGCAGAGCAACGGCATGGAATCTGAATCTAGGTTAGGTCGAATGATGGACATGACACCTTTGGGGTCGGGATTGCAAGGGCAACCTGTTCCTGGTGGAGCTGCGCTCGGCCTTGGGCCTTCGTTGGAGAATTCGTTGCCGCAACCCATGTACACTCGGGGGTCTGGGCAGGTTAGCAACTGAACGACCTTATACTTTTCTTGTTCTTGTCAGCCTGTGTCGTGTCAGAGAAAAACCGTTACGTGTAGAGATCCATCTAGTATTTGAGATGAACAGAATGGTTATGCTAATGTCATACACTTTCTGTCCGCTTATTTGCAATTAGCTTTCAAACATCTTTAATTGCGAGTACTTCAGGTAGATATATTGCCTAGTCTACTGGCTACCTGGACCATAAAGCCATTTGTACATTTTAAACCCCAGATGATGCAAAGTGAGTCGCGTTTGCATTGCTGCTGCATCGAGTTTTTTCTTTAACTTTTATGTTATTGCTAGCCTCGTCAGAGATATGCCTACATCTCCGTGGGCAAGGTTGTCTACAACAAAGTACTCGGTCTAAGCTCCTGCTGAACTCGTGTAGTCAAATCAATCTGATACCCTTGATATGAACAAGTACGCTCAACTTGAGAACTTATGTTGATGACTCGGAATATTGGGTGAACATTGGTCAGGTAATGACAGAAGAGCAGCTCGAAACATTGCGACGACAGATTTCGGTGTATGCAACAATCTGTCAACAACTTGTTGAAATGCACAAAGCGAGTGTTTCACAACAAGCATCTCTTCCTGGTTAGTTATAGTCCTGTCTCCGCACTTATAACATTTGCCACGGGGATCCTTGTTCACCCATCGTAACAGACAGGAGATGTCTTCCAAAAAAAGTATCTCTGTTTAGTTAAGCACTTCGTAGCCTTGGATAACAATCGCGTTGAGGCAGTTTTTCTTTGCTAAATTTGCGATCAACAACACCACTCTTCGTACGCATCGGGATTAGAAATTAATTTACTTTTCATCTCAATGGTGGGTATCTTAATGTATTGCAGGCATTCTAGCAAGTGGTCAGATTGTGTCGATGGACCATCTCACTGGAACACCCCCTCACAAATCGACAGCAAGACAGCGGTGGACCCCCAGCCAACATCAGCTGCAAATTTTAGAAAAGTTGTTTGAGCAAGGCAGTGGCACACCCAACAAACAGCGCATTAAAGAGATTACTGCCGAACTCAGTCAGCATGGTGCAATCTCGGAGACAAATGTGTACAACTGGTTTCAGAATCGCAAAGCCCGAGCCAAAAGGAAGCAGCAATTGGTATCATCTTCCTACTTGGTCTTTTGCTTTCGTCGTTGTGATTGTTTCTCTAGCGCTCCTATTTGAAAGATGCCAATTTTCATATTAAGGTTGTACTGGTATCATCCAACTTAGTTTTTTTCCATTCAGCAGTGCACTCGGGACCTCATGTGCAGGTTACCCCAAGGGATGGTGAATCGGAAGCAGATACAGATGTAGAGTCACCAAAGGAAAAACGTACAAGACAGGAAGGTGAACAAAATCAGGACGAATCAGGGGGTGTTGGTGATACAAATGGTGGAGGCAACTCTGATGGAGCTGGAAATGGGGTTCCTGAGCAAAGAGCTGCCAACTTTGACCAGCAGGATGCCGCTTCGTCTGCGCTGCTGCATTCACAAACAGATACTAAACCTGATATATCATCATTTAACAGGAGTGCTGGGTTCGATCCTCATAATGTATCTCAAGGTGGCTATTCATGTCGTGATGAAGTCTTTAGGGGCTCGAGCTTACTTTGCATGAACGATCATTTAGTATGCTCAAGAAGTTGTGATTAAAAATGCATTGTAAAACATTCTAGGGCATCAATAATGTGGTGTATCAAAAATCAGAAATTGCTATTTGGTATTAGGAGAGTCTTCCGATATCTAGAATATCGTCATGCTAATGTCATTGGTGAAAGCAGTACGATAGGTGGTCGTTTATGTGGATCATACATGCAGAACACAAGAGATCTGGGTACTTGTTAGACTAATATCAATTGAGGCTTGAATTGTCCTTGTCCAGGCATCCCTCCCATGATGAGTTAAGCGGCATGCAGCTGGTCTTGTAATCTTGGTATTTACGGTGAGCTCCTTCAGATCCATTCTCAGCTTTTTCTACTTCTATCTGTCTATCGTTCGCAGAGCATGTTCTTATAATATTTAGTTATTATCCACAAGCTTCGGATACTTAATGAATGGTTTATCAAGGCCAATGGAGCTTATGCTGTGTTCTTATCATCATGTAGGTTGGCAAGAGACTTCATTAGTTTGAGAATCAACAAGACATGGAGTCTGTGTAGTTATGATGTAAGGGGATAGATAGAAGTGTGTTTCGCTTTTGCATTGCCTCCGATGTGGTGTGCCCTCAAGGGGATCGAGCCACCCGCGGATAAAGCAGTAATTTTCCCATTGCAGCAATTGCGCTGCTCTCTTGGGTGTGATAGACAGCTGGTAGTGATTCATGCGTTCATCGTGTGGTTTTTAAACATGTTGAACTATTGAATACACACATGATTGCTCATGAAGGATCGCCGTAGGGATTCCCGAGATCTTCTGTATGCTTCCCTGAGCTATACATGGTCTTCCTTGACAATCTCAAACTTAATCTAATTACTTTGTCAATCTCAATAGGCTTTGTGGTAATAACATTCTTATTACCAATGGTATAAAAGTAAGATAGTCATCGAATTGAAGGTTTATTCGTGTACTGTTTTTTTCGTTTTTTAAATAAAATAAAACTATGTTTGCGGGTACATCCTTGGCTCGTTCACGTGCATATTCAGAGCTTGTGAATCGCCGTTACCTTGGGTGTAATAAACAACCAGAAGCAATCAGTTCCATTGTTTGGATGTAGGTGCATCTACATTCGTGTACACTAAACCCAATACTTGCTTACACCGTTTTTTGACATTCCAACGCTGCTCTTTTCCTAGGGTCTTAACTGATTCACCTACCTGCAGGATTGAACTTGGTAGCATTGCGATTAGTGTCCAGCAAGCAATACTGTGTCAAGCTATGGGTCTGCCAATGTCCTGTAACGGCTGCAACAGAATTCCTGCCTGGCCAAGTTGGGCCACGAAGACCAATATTCGTCGTTTCTCTGCATCTGAATCAAGCACGATGGCAATCTCATCAAGAGACTACGCAACGACGCGTTCTACACCACACTTTCATGTCTGGCAAAAGTACCCTTTTCTTGCCGTTTCGACAATGTTTGTGAACAAGTCCCTTTCTGTCCAGGCTCTTCACAAGCTCCGGAGTGCCACACCACTCACGGTCAAGTGCCAAATGAATGAGGGGTGGAAAAGCAGGGAAGAATGATTTTTTTCCAATGCATTCTTCAAGTGTGGAGAGGGTTGAAAATAGAGGCATAGCCTTGACCTTTCTTCTACATAAAGTTTTGTTCTATTGAGTTGTAAATGAGGCAAGGTCCAGCACCCATCTCTACAGTTTCACAAAGATGAGAAACTGCTCTATTTGGACTCACACCCATGACTACCAACCTAGTTGAACAGTTCTTTGAAACTTTGGTAAAATTATGTCATTGAATGGGTTACCAATGTCCATGAGCTAAAATTTTACTCATTATACTCCTCTTCCCTTTTTTTGTGATTGCAAATTGTAAGTCATATATCACTTTTCTTTGTTGCTTACAAGCTATTGTGATTTATAAAAATTAGTGTAACGTCATCCTATTTTATTATGAATACTCATTAATATTGTGATGCATATGCAGACATTGAGTAGTTATATTAATGCTACACTATTTGTGCATTGTCATTTAAATATACATCAAATCTTTGTTATGAATGTGTTATGTATTTATTATGCTATTGCCACCACAATCTCCTATTCACCACATACCACCTTTTTTTTTTTATTTTAAAACCTTTGAAATAAATCAAATTGTCTTAATTCATAACCTTTCAAACCATTTGATTGAACAACATTTTAAATGGAAATAAAAAAACCAAAGAGATGTATCGAGTGGGTGGCAAGTTGTGGCTACAGCAAAAACTGTGGTGGCATTAGCAATACCCTATTTATACGAGCCAAGGTTAACAAGATTTAAGAAAGAAGTTGATAACCTAAAAACATATTAAGATGAAAAAAGTTAAATAAAAAGCTTGTGATACTGACTTTAATTGTACTGAAAATACATGTTGATGAAACATCCACAAAAGATCTCGGATCTAAACACAAATTTCAATGAGTCCACTATTGTAACTTCACGTAGCTTTTAAATCATATCATAAATCCGTCCTTGAAATTTCAAAAGCGTATTGATATTACTTTTGTTGTTTTTACCCATGGATCACTTTTGATTTTCAATCATGAATTTCAATGAATTTTTTATTCACTTTATTTAAACCTCTTAAAAAAAATAACAAAAACCAAATTTTAAAACCAGTAGAGCTTTGAAAGGATCGAGTTCAATTTTACAGAAGTGAGTACGCAGCAACGAATCAAAATGTTGATCTCGACAGAAAACTAAAGTATTCAAAGAACAGACTTGCATTCACCTAAGTTGAGTCTTTCTTCGAAAACAAATCCTCCCATGTAAATCTTCCTACACTATTGAAAGCTCCATCAACAATCCACAATTTGATTCTCATGAACCACTATTGGAAGTAGTTAACCAAAAAATTAATAAAATCTCCATTCAACTTCTGTCTACAACACAGTCGAATATTATTAGGGTTTGGACACAATTGGAAATAGTCAGAAAAGTCAACACCTTCCAATTTTAATTCTTTTTAAGGTAGTTTAGTAGGACATCGAGTATTTACTGTGGACGCAAATCGCAAACATATAGAGAAATGGGTATAAAATACAGATTCCGATCCAAAAAAACCAAAAACTGAACGCAGCTCCGACCAACCGAATTTCCTTTCTTCTTTTAAAAAATGCCGGTACTGGTATCTTACATTATATGCAAAAGAATGTTTCAAATCATAAGGGAGGATGGGGTTGCGACCCAAGTAAACTGAACAGGACAGGGTGAATCGAACCCACTTACACAGAAAAATTGCCATGGAATCTAGGATCTGTCCACCCCAAGCTATCCACCACCCCAGCTCCACTGAGGGACTCCTCACAATGGAGGGAACCCAAACAATAATCTCCCGCCGCGTGATGCTTCACAACCATCAGCACCCCTGCAACAACAAACCATGCCCAAACACGACAAACCGAATTAGTTGCTACACCAGGAAAACGAACGTCAAGCGATGCTGCAGAAAAGCACGATCACATTAAAAGTTTAGCATCATCAGCACTGCTCCAATAGCGAACTGAGTTTTGCACTGTAAAAATCGGACCTTGGTGCTTCCTAACCTCCCAGAGTTGGCCCAGCTTTCGGCTAACAGGTCAAGCATAACCAAGAAATTGTTCTTAAATGCAAATCTTGAGCCTAAATGGAAGCTGTCACTTAGGTGTGTCGAACTACGTGTCAAGCTTTGATAGTGTGCAACTGCTAAAACAAAGAAAAGGCTGCCCACCGACTACATCAAACATCCTATGCTTGTTGCCACATGATATAGATACGAAACAAAAGTCTGGAATGGGATGCTAGTGGCAAGGCAAAATCTATAGCCAATCTAGTAATGCAGTTCTAATGGAAGTCCAACAAGGACGAGCCAGCAAAGAAAGTAGCAATTACCTGTCAACATGTAATCCCATGGCTGTGAGAGGCTCCTAGTAGTCCGCAATATATCTTCGCCGAGTAGAACCAAAACATCAACAATGTCGACAGCTTCAACTCTACATGTAATCACGCATTAATCTCATACGTCACATGGCACGTCTTTCATGGCGCAAAAATTCCGTCATCTTTGACAATTCAACGCTTCGCAAACCTGGGTGGGTCTCATCCAAGTCTCGTACCCCTATTCATATTGGTAGCTGTGGAGGTAAAGATAGCACAACTCAGATCATGGGGCCTCAACCGGCCGGCCGAGGATCGCAGTAAGTTCAGCATAGTAAGGACTCTCTCGCTGATCACGTTTGCCATCCGTGACATCCTTGTATTCAGCCATGAGCTTGTCCCACTTCTCTCTGCATTGCTTGCCATCTCGCTTGATCCCTTGCACCAATAGACGCTCCGCAAGCTCGTCCCAGAGAGCAGCACGGCGAGTGGAATGCGCGAATCGACTGTCCATCTCCCCGCGCAGTTTGATGAGCTGCAGGACTTCAGCGCGTTTCCAGTTCTTGGAGCGGCGTTTCGGGGCGCCCTGGGGACCCTCGGGGCTATTCACAATAAGTGGAGGTGGGGATTCAGATTGAACAGTAGGGGTAGTAGCACTGGGTGCCATCGCCAAGCTTGCACCGATCTGCTCACCCACGAGCTTTTGAGTGAGGATGATCATTGCGTTGTTAAACACCCCTCGTTGGGCTCGCTCTTCGGCCCGCCATTTGTCCTCCTTCTCCTGCCGCATTTGCTCTCGCATCTGCTCTTTCCGCTCCATAGCATCCAGAAGCTCCCGGAAAAAGTTTTGTTGCCGGGTGATTACGGTCTCAACCACTCTTTGCACCGCCTCCATGTCCGTGACAGACATGAACTGGGGTTCAGGTTTCTTCCTCTTGCGAGCTGGTTCGTCTGCTCCTTCGTCAAGATCCTCGTCGTGCGTTTCGCTCGACTTCTGAAGGGGTTCCATTTTCTCGTCCTTCATCGCCAGGGCAGTGTCATGCGCAGAGCCTTTGCGCAGTTCTCGAACAGGCAGCTCGTCGCGCTCCTTCTCCCGGTCTCGCTTCACAGACTTTCCGGAGAGAAGAGAGTGCAGATCGTCGTAGAAAGGATTATCCTCCTTGTCCTTTATCCCATCTCGCACTTCCTTGTACCCAGCAGTCAGCTTCTCCCACTTGTCCCGGCATTGCTGTGCGTCGCGGGTGAAGTTCTCCTTCTGCAAGGCTTCGGCAATCTCATCCCAAAGCTCGGTCTTACGACCGCTCTTTGCGAATCTCGGTTCAAGCTGTGTACGGAGGCGAATAAGCTGCAGCGACTCGGGCCGCGTCCAATTCTTGCTCCTCTTTTTGTGACTTTCCCGCTGCTTCTTGTCCTCTTCGTCTGCACCCTCACCCGTGGCTCCCGAATTATTCCCATTCTCCAAGTCTTTCGTGGGCAGCCCCTGCGAAGTGGACATGTATTGGTGGGGGGCAGGTAATGGAGACAAAAATAGAGACTGCGGGGATTCCAAGGAATGGCTCGGCGAGACGACTGAACCAGCCTTGTACACGACGTGTCGTCTCCCTGGAGTCGCTGTCACTGACTTCTCTTTTTCTTTCGGCGTGGCTGGCTGTTTCTCGCTCGACGAAGAAGGAAGTGCCATTTGATGGTCGATCGTAAATACGTGAGCCTCTGCCACGTCGGGTGCTTTCCTATCCGTATGTTCAGATGACCGTGACGAGGTAGGAAACATTGATGGTGCCTTCGCAGTCCGGCTGTGCGTCGATAGCGACGACGTCTGAGGGCTATACATACTATCCCTCCGCAAATAAAACTAGAATAATCCACTCTTGGGGCTCATCCCCACAAGAAACTTCTTATTCGTTCAATTTTTTTGATAGAGAAGTTGCAATTAGTCCCTTCCTACCTTGAGTGTGGCTCGTAATCCTTAAGTTCACAAGTAGGATAGCACAGGTTCAAAAAAACTACTTTTCTACAAAGAACATACTCAGTTCTCTACAGAAAATCAATTGGTGCGAGAGCAATATCCGACCAAGCAGGTTTCAGGTTATAGCAGCAGTTTCCACCGTTCTCCGCTCTCTCTCTCTCTCTCTCTCTTGCAACCCCACAACAGCAAGCAACTTCTCAAGATTATTCGCATAAGCCTCCTGCTATTAAAACATTGAAATCAATCACGGTCCCAAGCCATTGCGATAAAGCTGAAACCGCTGGTTGCGAAAAAACGATCTTTTTACCACATAACATTCGGCTCCAAGATCCCAATTGCGAGATCAGAAACCGTCGGAAAGCTTCGGAACGACCTATTCAGGCCCAAGTTTGGATATGTAAGAGAAAATTGTTCCTAACTGTCGAGCATGTACCGTAAGACCAATGAACAAGAGGAGGCAAGCAAAGCGGTTCCTAAAATGAATAAAAACCGTCAGGCAGTGATCGCCACGACACGGAAACGGAAGACTGAACAAGACTGGCTACAGCTAAGCACGATGAAGAGAGAGAGAACA